TAGCCGAGGGTCGCCAGGAACAGGTAGCTCAAGGGATCCCCCTTCGTTGACGGGGGCCCTTCCCCATAGCTTCCAGGTCGTCGGCGTAGAGGAGGAGGTCTAGCGGGAAGTCCGGGCCCAGCAAGTGGTAGGTTAGCCTGAGCCCGCAGGCTGCTATGCCGCAGGAAAGTCCGAAGGTCCCCACCAGGTTGACGTATACGGTCTGGCTAGCGGGGTCCCCAGGGACCTCTTCCTTGGTGTCGACTTGGCAGGCCAGGTAGCCATGCTCCTTAGCCGAGTGTTTGTAGCGGCGGTGGGCTTTAGCGATAGGCTGTCTCTCCCTCCTCCTCGTGCTCCCTTAGCAGGTGCTTCTTCTCCCTAGCATGAGGGGAGCGTAGCTTGTCCCGGCACTTGACCCGGTCTCCTCGTCTTCCACGATGACGGCTAGCGCAGCAATGGCGGTATGCTCCCCATAGCGTTCCAGGAACTCCCCCATACACATCTCCTCGAACTTAGCCCTAGCGAAATCGGCGTGCTCCGCAACCGAGCTGTAGTTGGGCGCCCAAGCTAGCGAGGCCTCCCAGAAGGAGTTGTCTAGCGGCCACTTCACCTGCTCCGCGAAGACGTGTGGGGTCCGAGGTAGCGGGTCCAGGATCCCCACGGGTAGCCCATCCTCCGCTTGTCGGAGGAAGTCCCTATCGGGGTCACCAGCGGCTTCCAACATAGCGCGGAGCAGTCTGAGGTGAAGGGGCCGTCTGTGGTGAAGGAGCTGCCCCGCGGTGCCACGTCTAGCAGCCCAACTTCCCCCAAGTCCTGAGCTTCTAGCCAATCCTCTCCTGGTCACTAGCGAGGGTGCAGCCCTTCTCGCCACCAACGGCCATGCGGAAGGCTTCCTTCTCTAGCTGCTCCAGGGACCCCACCCTCGCGAGGATGAGTTCTAGCGTCCGTCTCCTTAGCCACGTCCGTCTCCTTAGCCATTCCCAGTGAGGGCCATCGGCATAGCTCCTACCGTGGTGTGGCCACCGTCCAGGCGAGCATAGCCCGCCCCCATCGTGGA